ATTGTTATGGGGTGGTTGCGAATGTTGGCTTGCAAACTTCAGCCTTTCGTGCGTAATCGTGTCGCTGAAATTTTGGATAAGGCCAGTGACCATAAATGGGGACACGTCCCAACAGATAAGAACCCAACAGACTTAATATCTCGTGGTGTGGATATCAGTGCTCCGGCAGGTCTTAGATTGTGGTGGTCAGGTCCAGATATTTTAATATATGACATATCAAAATGACCTTCTCAGCCTAAGAAGGTTGTCTTGTAAAAGACAGCTTGTTTCTTCGAATTACTTATCGGAATCAGAATTACGACACGCGTTAAATATTATAATTTCAAAATGCCAATATGATTTCTTTCCAGAGTATACATTGCTTTTGAATAAACAAAACTTACCTAAGAAAAGCCCATTTCTTAAATTTAATGTATTTTTAGACGAAAATAAAATTATGCGTGTTGGTGGTCGTCTTGATAATTCAAAATTTTCATATAATAAAAAGCATCCTATATTATTACAGTCCAATCATATATTTACAAAATTATTATTTGACCATAAACACAAAACGCTAATGCACGCAGGCCCACAGCTACTGTTGGCAAACATTAGAGATACTTATTGGCCGATAGGTGGTCGAAACCTATCATAAATGTATACGATGTCATCACATGAAGGGTAAGGTTTCGAATCCACTAATGGGTAACTTACCACAGCAGCGTCTCCTTTCGGGTGGCTTTCCTTTTTAGACCGTAGGAGTCGATTATGCGGGCCCTGTTATAAGCGCCACTCGCCAAGGTCGTGGGTGTCGACTGATAAAGGTTTATATATGTATTTTTGTCTGTTTCACTACCAAGGCGATTCATTTAGAGTTGGTAGGTGACTTAACGAGCAATTTGCTGGTATTGCGCAGCTCTAAAAGGTAAGCCAGTTAATATTTATTCCGATAACGGCGCTTCTTTTGTCGGTGCATGCAATGACTTATCCAAATTTTTAAAGGGCAATTGCGATTCTTTGAGCGAAAGCATGGCCAATGATAATATTAACTTTCATTTTATTCCGGCGTATACTCCTCACTTCGGTGGTCTCTGGGAGGCGGGAGTCAAATCGACAAAATATGATTTGCTTAGAGTGTTGGGCAATTGTCACTTAACGTATGAAGAACTTTACATCACGTTGACCCAGATCGAAGCAATCCTGAACACCCGGCCACTCACTCCACTATCTTCAGATCCCGCAGATTGTACGCCCCTCACTCCGGAACATCTTTTAATTGGGCGTGCGATGACTTCTTTGCCGCAACCGGATTACCAGCATCACTCCACACCGTTCTTAACCAGATTCCAACGCATTGAGCAATTGCGTCAGCATTTTTGGGAACGATGGAGCAAGGAATACGTCTCAGAGCTCCAACAAAGAGAAAAATGGCGTTCTTGCAAAGATAGCTTAAAGATAAACGATTTGGTGGTAGTCAAGGAGGACAACCTTCCCCCGCTGAAATGGAAGTTGGGAAGAGTCGTTGCAATTCACCCAGGAGCCGATGGCATTGTTCGAGTTGCAGACATCATAACTTCTACTGGGATTATCAAGAGGGCATTTAACTGGATTTTTCCATTGCCGGTGTCATTTAATTCTGGTTGAAATCAAAGATTTCAACGCCCGGGGGCATGTTGAAGCACCTGCGCCTTCTTTTGAGCAACGAGTTAAACAACGTACTCGTAGTAATTACGACAGTACATAACGTTAATTTTAAACAGGTTACCTGCTCAGCTGTTGTAAGATCAATACAATCGTCCAAGACCACATTCAAGTTGCATTATTTTAAAATTCCCGTAAACTCCCGACCAGTCAATCTTTAAGTACCTACGCCATGTCTTAATTGTAGCTATTATTTATTCTGTGATTGTAGGTCGTTCCTATACAATTTCCTGCGAATTAAATAATGTTACATACTTTCATTTAGAAACACAAAGCATTACATTTTATATTTGTTACGAAAGAAAGAAAGATTATTAAAAAAAGAAAGAATTTCATATGACTCAGAAAATACCAGCGTGATATAGCAACCTAATGCCTGCTGTGTTTCTTATGGTGAGTGTGAAGAAACGGAGACCATTTTTAATAAAAATAAGGCGTTCCAACTTAGTCCTAGGGGTAGCAATGCGTTCTGCATTTTGATTATTCAATCGAGGATAGATGTGACTGTATACTCGTTGTCATTTTTATTCTGTTTAAAAAAACACGAGAAAACGGAACCTCATGGAACTATTATTAACTGGCTAGTTAACACCATCATTTGTAAGTTTCTATAAATAGGTATAAATAAAATTGACATGTATGTCTGTTATATCGAAATAGCTGGCTTCTATTATATTTCTATATTATTAATAGACTTTCTACGTCGTAGAGCCATGCTGCAGCTATATTAGTAATATAGTTGTAACACGAATGGGTCGGCTCGACCGGGGAAGGACCACGCTCTCACAGAATACCAGCGTAAAATAGCAGCTTAATGCTGCTGTGTTTCATATGGTGAGTGTAGAGAACCGGAGACCCTTTTTACTGGAAAAGAGGCATTCCATCTTAGTCCTCACGGGTGACAACGCATCTGCATTTTGATTTGTAATAGAGGATAGATTTAGATGTCTGTGGGCCGCAGCAACCACTTACCATCATCAGGTGGACTGTGTGCTCGTTTGTCACCCTTATCTTATAAAAAAAAATAGGGGACAAAGATTATAATATAACTATTTTAACGACATTTTAGTTGTCCTTGTGACCTTGAACTTGTGATATTCGTTAGTCCACCCAAAAGGGTAAAAAAAATTAAAAAAAAAGTAAAACTGTATGCCAATGGTTTATAGTAAAACCATACGGCATATGGTATGAGCGAATATGTTTTACCATGTCAACCGATTTCGATTATTATATTCGTTTTATGGTTATTTGAAGTCGGTTTTTACTTTTTGAAACACTTAAAGTTATAAGAACACAAGTGTATTTGTATACCAATTCAGTTTAGTACGAGTCTCCCTAAATAACATTAATTTCAAATTTTCAAGCAATAGGAAGTGAACCTACGACAACATTATAATAAAAATATCATTGAATCACACATAATATATGTCACCAGACAGGACAGGTGAGATGTACTTAAGGTACAAAATGCACTCTAATCCAACGGCGGCAAAAGGAGATGGGGAGACTGGGTGGCTTATTGATCCTCCTCCGTCGCGCCACGCTGTGACCGAACATGACCTCCTATAGTACCCTTGGTACGCCATCTGCCCTCGAATAATCCTTATCCGTGTTTTCTCCACTTGATGAAATCAAAACACTTTGATTAATCTAAATTAAAGTCAAAGTCAAAATATTTATTGTAAGTAAAGGGTTACATATTACTTAGATAGTAATAAGTATAACGTAAACAGCGTAATACGAAGTTAACAATATTTTTATTATTCTATAAATGCCTCTAATAATAATATTATCCTTATCATTACAGCTCATCACAGGTTCACTAGTGAACATGGGCCTCCCCCAAGCAAGCATAGAAAAGCAAAATTCATTGACTGCCTGCACTGCATCTCTTACCAGGTCGGCACTCCATCTAGTCTCCATTTAGTAGTCACGCCGTACACTTCTCTTGCCGGTACGAGGCCACTCTAAAATCTTTCTTCGCAATCGGTTTTCAGTCCTTCGAGATACTATATAGGAGAAAATCCTAGTGTGGGGGTAACGTTTTTTAAAAAAAAATACTATATCACTGGCCCACTGCTACTTTAGCGTCCTACTGCGTAGTATAAATAACTAAGCTATGCTTATAAATACTCTAAGAGACATTCTCATTACATAAATCTATCACGTACATAGTCTATACAGAGAAACTCCGAGCATAGCCCTGTTCATAACTCAGTCAACAACCTTGAGCTTCCTCATAAGTCATTATATTGGTTTAAAATATTATGTAAGCCTATTTATTCCAGTCGAAATGACTTTGGGAAATGCAAGAAAAATCTTATGGGTTTCGATAGATGGCGATTTAACCATATCGTTTACGCCAGACGTAAAATAGTTAGACTCTCGACTTGCGATCGACAATTGACTTACCGAGTATCACGATTAAAGCTAACTCTCCGTACGATGGGAGATGCCCATGACCAGCTGTGGACTTTTTCGGATTGATAAAAAAGAAGAAAAATAAAGAAGATAGACTAACCATGGTATACATTAAGAATAAGTAAGGAATATGAAGTAAAAAGAAACGTATTGAGGCAGTGCGGCGGAATTTTCTTGAGTTTATAATCACAATTGAGCCCGATAGATGCTGCTGTTGTCGAGAACCAAAAAATCAACCATGCGAAGCCGGGGGGCGGATCGCTAGTTTTTTATTACACCTGTATGTATGCGGGAGAGAACTCACATCTCACACCTTTCGAGAATGAGTACTTTAGTAAGGGTGTGCAGAACCGAATTACTGAACAGAGCATAGAAGAACAGAAACAGAGCAAAGCATCATATTGAATAGTCTGCTCGGCGAAGACAGTCGCTAGTCTGCGCTAATTTTTAAAATTTCGAGCTCCTAGCTCGTGCCTCTAATGGAACGTCAGTGTATTTTTTTATATATATTGTATATTTTACGACGTTTTAAGAGTTTTCGATCTTTATTCGTGACATAATATTATTTGTATATGTTAAAAAAAATCGTAAAGTAATTATATTTGTGAAAATAAAAACAGTTTGGTCACCACACACACAATCACTTCTGGCAATATTTTATATTGTGTCAAAATTTTAATTCATCCTTTTGTCTATAGATAGTGAAGTAGTTGATTTCAGTATATATAAAGGTACTCTGTGGTAATCGAATACATGCTCTTTGTAGGTAACTAATATCAATTCTGGAAAATTGGGTAAATAATATTATGAGGTTTGGTCTTTTATTCGTAAAGACTGGGGCGTACTAAATTTTAATTACTATTTTGTATACAAATCGTGATTGAACCTGCAATTATATAATGGAGAACGACATCAACAAACCCTATAAAATCTGTGATGTGAATCGGGACAAAAAGAAGGGTATGGTGGCATCGTCTTTAGAAGATTTACTTGCTAAAGTTCCAGAAAAGTTAGGGCTGCCCAGCGAAAATTTAACTGTTGTACTGGAATGTGACGGTACCGAAGTAGACGATGAAGAATATTTTTCTACTTTAGATCCTGATACCGCCCTTATGATTTTACATGGTAACGAAAAGTGGACACCAAATATGCCTAAATGCCAAGTTTCTCTGGATCAAACCGATGATGTAGCACTTGGTGAAAAGGGTCAAGTTGTAAATCTTGTAGGACGTCTTCAACATAACTTATGCCATATCTCATTACTTGGGGGTCAAGATCTGGAATTACTCTCTGATATGGATCCTGATAGTCTTGCAGATATTGTTACTGATAGAGATAATCGAATTATTCTAGAACATATTAAAGAAGCTTCTGGGAGGTAAATGATAACATTTTTTAAGTCATCTCATCTCATATAATCATCTTCATTTCTTGTTTATCTAAAGCTTGCTTTAAAGATAGTAGGTAAATTTTAAAATATAAGTGTGTGTTTATATAAGTAATACAGTGGATTTCGGGTATAACGACGATGAAGGGACCACTCTATTTTCGTCATTATATCTGGAAGTCGTTACAGGTAAGGGTAACAAATTCAATACCTTACAGTTGCTACTCAGAATATCACTTTGTAATTGAACCATAAATTTTACTCCAAACTTCCCTAACTACTTAGTTGATATCTATAAACAAAAGGTAAAGGTCTCCACACTTGCTGACCATCTGTGTGGATGTAAACTAAAGATAAGAAATGTTTGTGAAAGAAATAAATCTTAGTGTCGTTGGTGGCCGACCTACACCTGAACTCGGCGTTACATCCAACATCGCTATAGCCATATGAATTTTGTACTAAAATATGCTTTAAATTCAAGGGCCTTTGATTTAACGTCGCTATAGGTAAATGGTTGCTACAACCAAGGTCGTAATAAATGAAACCCACTCTATATTTAAAATATAATAATATTTTAACTAATCACTTTCAGGATACTTTTGGAAAAGCGTCAGGCTCAAGATGCCATGGAATTACTTAAGCTTTACCATCAGAGTGTAGCTAATGGTAATGAAGATGTTTCACCGCCAACCCAGGACAGGATTTAAAATGTATCCTTAAACAAATTCAACAGTGTCCTATACTAATCTTACCCTCAATAATTTATTTTTAAGGGATGGTATATCTCAAAAGTTTACAAAGAAAATTTATTCCGTAAGAACACTGCTTGCAAATTCTTTTGAACAAAAAATGGCTATACAATATTTGATATAGTTTAGTAAAGACTCAAAAGCAATTGTTGGTTAAATATGTTAACCCCTAAACTATGTACATAACAAGGTAAGAATTTTTACAAATGCTAAGTGATTATTTAATACACCAATAACAAGAGGCCTTCTTTTTCCATTAGAATGAGAAGCTTTATCAGATATACTTAGATAATATATTTAGTTTTTAAGATAATATCTTGGCTACTTATATTTATTTGCAAACATCATGATGTCATAAATTGAATGTTTATCATTAGATGTTAATGTGAAGCTAATCTTATGAATTTGAGCTGGAGTATTTAATGATAACCTTAATAATAACATATTAAACATTGTATGTATATGATATGATCATTAAAATTAGGCAATGTATGCTTATTGTTATATACAATTCCATATGTCCAAGAAATGCATGTAAGATTAACTTCAGAATGTGAATTTTACATTATATATCCATAATGCATTCATCACTATATGACTGGGACATGAATAGGACATGGTAATGGTATTGGAATTAAGGGTGTACCCAATATTATAAGTATTTTAGAGCATTTTAAGTGCTTCCTATAACCTTTTGTATCTATATTTTGCTAAAAATTGTTACTCAATGATATTTAAATTTTTTTTTGTTAAACTACTGGGGTCGAATATTGCATTTCTGCTGACTCCCCTTATTACTTAATTTTTAATAGAATTTCAACCCTACCTTATTAATCTAGGGCTTAATTATAAACTCCAAATTAAGATTTTATCAATATTTTTTTTCAACTTCCTGAATGAATGCCTTACCAGGTTGTCACTCTTTTTAGTGGAATCTACTCCACATTTCTGTACTGGTTTAAGACTGCCATGCAAGAACCTGTCTTCCCCATTGGTTGTCGGTTCTTTGAATTGTATGGCTGGTCCATTGCTACTTCATGTAGGTAGCTAAAGACCATGCTTTGTGACATTCCTTAGGAGAGGCCAATGTTCAGTAATGGCCATGTCACAGGCTTTAATGATGATCATAAATTTTAAATAATTCTCTGAGAAATATTACTAAAATATCCATTTAAGAGCCTAACATCTAATGCTTAAAATGGTATCTATCAATCTATACTTTGACTTAAATTATAAATTTAAGTTAAATGTATAAGTTTATATAAATTTATAATTTAATTACAACAAATCGATTTTATTTAGTGGTTTAAGAAGGGTAAAAATTTTAACATTTTTTTTTATTTGTACATTATATGATAAAATTATTTCATACTGCAAATACAAAACACTGACAGTGCAGAATATAAGGATTGAATAACATGAATCACAGTGAATTTTGTGTTGTCTAACTTTATTATAAGTAGAATAATAATAAATAATGAAAACTAGTAAATTCTTATGATAAATGATTGACAATAGGTATGCTAGTACATAAGCATTTTCTTCCTCAGGTCCTGAATTTCATTTTGGGATTCCATATGTATGTTCAAAATTTCGAACGGAAAACTACCATACATGTGTGACAGGTCCTTGATTTTACATGGTCTTGCTGCATTCAGAATCCCGAAATGTATGTGGCCGGCCTTATATAGAGGATTATTTCTAGCTATGTATTTGTTCTTTTTGTAAACTTTTGAGAAACAAATTGCTACAAGGTTGATAATCAACATCAATTTAAAAGACTGATAGTTGGTAAATTTATTTTTTTTATATAGTTTTACCCCTAGAGTAATAAGATTAATTCATTTAATTCCAAATTTGCTCAAGCATTTTACAAATATGAAATAAGTTTTACTTATGTTCCACTACACTGCCACAAATGGAAACAAATAAATAAAGGCTCATGAATTGAGAGATTGAAGTGGACTGTAGGAATTGCATGATGAGAATTAATTATACACAACTATCAAATAATAATTTTATTTAAGGTTCTCAAATTTTTGTAATAAGAGTAGTGTTCAATTTAAAAATCTGAGTATAATTGTACTGTTTATTTCTTAATGTATTTAAATTCTCCTGTTTATTGTGATATAAAATTGCACCTATTGTAATAAAACATATTAATGCACAATTTAGCTACCAATTGGGAAACCAACCTCAGGTTTGACTTTAAAGTCTATGTAATTTATGTAGCTTATCAAAACAATTTATTCTATTATTAGCAGAAATTATGTACTATACAAGTGATTAAGACCTAAGTTGTTTCTTGTCTTGCCAGCGGTGTACTAACACTCGTGTCAGATCATAAATTCATAAATTTTGTAAATCAAAAAGTTCACTATTCATAAATATTCAAAAAATATTTTTTATGCATCATTTGTGAAACTGCAAAATTATAAAATAAATAAAATTTACAGTATAATAATAAAACCATAAGATGCTTTTTGTCAGAGCAAATAAATCCATTTCCTTATGACTAACAAATGTACATTATTATACATACCTAGTTTAATATTATATTGGATCCTTAGTTACTACCACTCAATAACTATAATTCATAAATCATTATATTGATCAAATATTATGCAAATATGATTATATGATTATAAATAGAAAAAAATTCAAACTAGGTCTATTGTAATTCATATGTAGTTACCAGACTAAAGGCTTAGAACTATAATCACTTACAGATAATGACATTCATTTACCAAAGCATTAAACCTTTTTTTTTTATTTTGTAATGAGCTATTCCCATATCCTGGAATTGATTTTTGTGCACTAATAAACATTAAAAGAAATAATATATGATTTTTATTTCACTGGTTATTTCTCTTGTGGTGGTGGTTAGAGAATCTATCCCACTATTGTCTAACAGATGTCTTGCAAGTTAGCCAAGCCCAGTAATATTTTATGGTCTCTAATGAAAGTATCTATAAACCATCTTAAAGCCTGCTATATAACAGTACACAACAAACAGGAGCAGCAGCAAAGATGCAAGTTATGAAGTTGCCTAATGCAATTTTAATTCACCTGTTAGACCGATATTCTACAGAGGGCAATGTATTGATTTTTAATTTTAACAAATGATGTAGGGAAGAAAACAAATACTTAATAATTATCATATATTTGGAATCATACAATATAGGTAATTTTCTTACAGATGCAATTGTACAAATACATATATTTGTGACTATATTTTGATTCCATTATGAACTATTTTAGTAATCAATAAGTTCATGTCAAATAAGTAAATGTGTACAGAGCAAAAGGACTTAAAAAGCTGATAATAACAATAGTTATGATTGATTAAAAGATAGTGTAAAATGATAAGAATGTAGATTACTAAGCTTTGAAAAAGACAACATCAATAATTTATAATATATATTTTAAAGAACTGTGCAAGAACTTTTCTCACGAAAAGGATTGACCTTTTGGCTTGAAAACCCAACCAGTAAGCAGTCTTCTTGCTCGTGGTCATTAATGTACCTAACAATGTCAGCCACTGCCACAGAAACAGGAATGCGTTTAATAGCAGCTTCTCGTCTTAGTTGTTCGGTAACAGCACGCTGCTGTTGCAATGTCGATACCATCATATCCATAACGGCGGTATCTGATAGGCCTATGATGAAAGCAAAAATAAACAGTCCACTTAGAAAAATAGGGCGTAACCTTCGATTCTACCTGAAACGATTACAATTTGTGCACGTTAAAACTATATATTACTTAGTTTACACATAAGTATAAATAAACACATTATCTTACAAAATTTCCAGGATCCGTTTAATAATAATAAGTTTAGTTTAGTAAAACCTATTATTTATTCTGGGCTAAAAAACGAATATTCCTTTATAAGTGTATACCCACAGAGTATCTTTTTATACCAAGGATGTATACCACAGACTAACTAGTAACTAGTAGATTCTACACGAATAGGGATAATATTCAATATACATCGATGCATCGAATGCACTCGATGTTCACAATACGATGCATCGAATCGATTGATTGGATCGATGTTTAGGAAAGTTATTGATATACTCCGTAGATAGAGGATTGACTAGATAAAGCATTCGCGTATGCTTTTGAGATAGAAATAGGCGGGAGGTACTTTCACTTTTCTTACCATAAAAAAATGTTCTTTTATAATTCAAATGATTAATTCATTTCTCTTGAAAATACATTCTGTGACTAAAAACTACGGGCGGAAACGACGTAAAAACAGAATCATCATTCTGTATTCAACGGCGCATCGACGATTTTACTGGACATTCAATAAACTCTGCATTTCGATGGCACTAAGTGAAGACGCTACTAGCACAAAATATGATATCGTTAATAAATAACAATATGTTATGTATGTACTTAGATATTAATTAAGAATAAAAATATTAAATAATAAACAAAAATTTCCTCGTGTCGAGTTTTGTTTTTACAAAAAAAAAATCAATAATGTTTTAACATACCATTCCATCACAAGTTCAGTGCTGAACACAGACTTTCCTATATAAAAAAGTACTCTGTGACACAGACCTCCGAAAGGAAAGGCTTTCCACTTAGGTTTTATAGTACAAAACACGGTTATGAGGCTACTCCCGCGATTTCCTGCATGTTTTGCTAAGTTAGTGTCTTGTGTGCGGCAAGTTGTGGCGTACAAGAGAATTTGTACGCCACAACTTGCCGCACACAAGAAATGATATTACCCCGCGTCGTAAGCAATAATACAAGATGATGATGAGGCAGTAGCACTTTCCCGATGAAAACTTAAAATAATAAATAACTGCGGTGGCCAACCAGCATAACGCATATTTTCACGCAGGCGTGGCAACTATGGTAAAAGTCATCCTATGAGGATATCTAGGGAAGGCCTTTTTTAGGTGGGTGGGTAGGTACTTACTTATGGTTAGGTGGCTTAATCATGTTACCTAATGGTTAAGGTGGTAAAATGTTTTAGTTAATATACGTTGTAAAGCATCAACAAGGGTTTGTTTTTGTAATATGTTGGTATATAAAATAAAAACTAATGTTTTATAATATTCTATTTTAATTTACCATGCAGTGTAAGATTATCTGCTACCTCATATCATTCCATGGGTGGTGTATGAGGTGACATAGGGAAACATCAAAGAAAATAAACAGCAGCATTTTCCTGATAACAGCTAAATAAAAAAAACAGTGGTTGACAACCCGCTTTCCAAGCGTTGAAACTATTTCAAATAACTATAATCATGTTTATGTTCAACAGTGGACTTTTGATAGACTGTAAAGATATATATTCTATTCAAATGAAAATATATAGAAATATAAAAAGTAAAAAGAACTAAATTTTGTGTACTTACACAACATTTAGAAATATTAACAACAAGCTATTCCCCGCGACTTCGCCCGCGTGGAGTAATTTTTCGCGGAACTCTAAAATAAAAGCCGCCCAAGTTACTCCTTATAACATCAGCTATCTGCCAGTGTATAAATATTGACATTAATATTTATACGATACTACTTTCTCGGAACCCCTCCACTAACACTTAAACTTTATGGTATGGTATTAAAGTTCAAATTGACATTTAAGTATTATTACGAATCTTTTGTATGGGAATATAGAAAAGTGTTGTTTTTAGACTTTTTCATGCAATTTTTTAAAATTTTCTCTCCGTAAAAACCATCTTCGTACATCAAGGAATATTATGAAAAAAGAATTAGCTAAATTGGTTCAGCTGCTCTTGAGATTTGCGCTTAGCAACACATTCAGCTATTCATTTTTATATTATAGATGTTACATTAAGTAAAACAAATGAAAACACAATTATATATTAAATATAATTCAATAAAATTTAAATAAATAAACGATTATTTATTAATTTTACATCACATTAATAAACAACAAAATTAACAAAATTTTTGTCTTCTTTCTAGAGCATTCGTTGTTATTCTTGGTTTGAGCAGCTTTAGAATTTCTCAAAAATATGCATTTATAAACTTGATTTATATTTTACATGGCAGAAATTCTTGGGTGCTGGTTGTTACAATCGGATTAGAAAGGAGTATATATGTATATTATATATCTTGTATAAAACATATTTTAGTGGTATAAATAATAAGGTACAACTCCTAAACTATACTTAGATAGGTAATACCTATCTCTTGTCAAAACATCTTTATTACATTGTTTATTATGTCAATTTATTATGAAATTATCATAATTACATATTATATTTATTTCTTAATTTATTTACACATTATTGTTTATAATACCGAAATGAAAATATATTGAAATTTAAAAAGGAAAAAGAACTAAATTTTGTGTACTTACACAATATTTAGAAATATTAACAATGTTACATTAAGTAAAACAAATGAAAACACAATTATATATTAAATATAATTCAATAACATTAAAATAAACATACGATTATTTATTCATTTTTCATCACATTAAAAACAAATTTAACAAAATTTTTGTCTTCTTTCTAGAGTATTCGTTGTAATTCTTGGTTTGAGTAGGTTTAGAATTTCTCAAAAATATGCATTTGTAAACTTGATTTATACTTTTGCATGGCAGAAATTCTTCGGTGCTGGTTGTTTTATATATATATATATATATATATATATATATATATATATATATATATATATTATGCCTTGTATATAATATATTTTAATTGTATAAATAATAAGATACAACTCCTAAACTATACTTAGATAGGTAATACTTATCTCTTGTCAAAAACATCTTTATTACATTATTTATGACAATTAAATAGAAATTATCATAATTATTACATTTATTTCTTAATTTGGACTAAATGTCCCATTGGTAGGCATTCCCAGTCAGTTTTACAATTATTATTGCATAATAAATTATTCATTTGCATATTTAGGTCAGGACTTTAAATTATTTATTTATTTCTTTTATTTAAATCTTTATTTGCATAAAACATGGTAGTACAGATAAAGTTCCAACATTTGTAAATGAGGATTCATGTTTAATCAATACATCTATAAGTAAATATTTTGTCATTGTCATGCAACCAAATTATTACAACTCATAATAATACAGAATGTCAACATTTGAAAATAAAATAAGCAATGTTGATCAATTTTTAATACATACAGAACAATGTCAAAAATCATAACTACTAATAAGGTCAAACTTATATCACTTATGGAGAAACAACAAGAGACAACAAGAAATTATAACATTTTAAAAAAATATCTTAATTATATTATAAATTACATAAATTAAGTATATTTAGTCCACCTAAAACAATGAGGCTAATAATGTTTTGAGCATATACTGCTAAGTTTTGTTGGTTAACTATAATTACTACCAGTAGCAATTATCCAACAGTTATGGATAGCTGATTCCTTAGAAAAGCTGTGAAATAATATATTTAAAAGAAATTAATATATAAAATATATAGTACACTTTTATATCAAGGCATTTAACAAAAAAAAATCAAGTATGGGTCTGTGCATAAATACAATACCTATAACAATTAATACAATATCAATTGATTTAATTAAATAGCAAGTATATGTAAATGTAATGATACAATTAGTCATACCAAACATTTAAAAAAATTATGTACATATTAAGCTTTAGATATTGTTAATTAATACATTTACAGCCTAACATAGTTATGTCCTCCACAGCTGAACATAGACCTCCCACACAGTTTGTCTCCAAATAACTGCGCAGTTGCCAATTCTCCTGCCAAGCTAGGCAACTATCACAAAACCTATAACTTTTGACTTGTTGATACTGACTAATGGTAACGGTGAGTATATTATTATCAAATTTTTTCTACATCATTAATTGAGAATATTATCTTATGTTGTTGTGTTATTGTGTACCTTACGATTAAGACTTATCTATTTATTTATTATTTTATCAATGTTTATATTTATTTTTATATTAGTATGACATATTTTTTTTAATAAATATTTTAATGTAATTGTTGCTAATGTATAATAGAATTAGTGGAATGCAATAAAGTTTTGTGCTTTTGATTTCAGGCAATACACATTTTGTGAAATTAAATATACTTTGCCCAATGTTGTTTATCCAAACATGTTTTCAGGTTGATACTTACATATTATTTGTGACATCTATGTAATATGGAAATTGATTGAAGAGTTGTAAGGCAATAAGGAGTTTCCTTTAAAGCTGAACATAAAATGCTATGTATATGTATAACATTATGTGATTCATATTTATGGACATAGCTACTAATCACAATAACAATTATTATGGAACAATGCGAAAACATTATTGTACTCGCTGATATCCCTAAAGTTTCTATAATCCTACCAAATCAAAAAGTACACGTTTGTTATGACTTTAAGCTTTCGAATGACCGTTCAAATTAAGGAGCATTATCATGAAGAATTTACAATTTGGGAGTCCAAATGTTTGACAAAATACATCACAAAGTTCATTAAAAACATGAAATGTTACACTTTATATTCAAAACAATAGATATTAATCAGTACAAGTAGCAAATGTAAGCACAAAACAAACTTACCGATGAAAGGTAATATTATCAATTTTTCGTTGACTAATGCTGTTGCATCCTAAAATGCTACAACTTACCATCTTTTT